GCTGGGACTTGAACCCGGGTCCTCTGCAAGAGCAGTCAGTGCTCTTAAACCACTGAGCCATCTCTCCGGCCCCAATATTCAACTATCTTAAGGCAATCACAGTGTTAGGGAACAGCTTAGCAAAGGGGTCAAAAGCCAGAACCCAGACAAGCCCTATGGGCAGCCTTGGTTGCCAATCACTTCCTCCTTGACAAAGGCCAGACACTCAATTCTCATGGGTAACAATCCTCCCTGGAGGTCCTCCCTCAAATGAGCCCTTAGCATTAGGGAACAATTTCCATAACTCCTTCATCGGGATTGCTTGAGCTCAGAGAATACAAACACATTTCATCAGTGAAATTTAAGTCAGGGCTTAAGCCAGCTAGAGAAACACTGCAGAGGCAAACACAGAGGCTTTGAAGACATTGTCAACTGTGTCTTTGCCAGGATGGCCAAAGCCCTGCTCCTCTATCAGCTGGGAAGAACATGTGGCTATAATCCCATTCTCACAGCTGAAAGCAGAGGCACAGCCACCCACCACTGCCAGCACCTATCTCCATATCATAACAGGGGGAGGAGGAGGAAAATGCATCAGTCTTATCCATTCTACTGGACGATGATTGCCTTTCCAGGCTGGAATCTGAGAGCTATGCACTAGGCAGGAGGGTGGCATCTCAGCCTGCATATCCCCCAGATGGACTGGACCTGGGCCCTAGCTCTGTTGCTTTGCTTATACTGTTTCTTCTAATACAAATATCCTTCCCCCAAAGTCTCCTATCAGAATTCTATTTGTCACAGCAGTTATTTATAACATTAAAAAAAAACAAAAACAAAAACCCACCAACTACCTAAATGTCCAATAACAGGTGATTTGCCAGCTCAAGTGTGTGTCTACTCAATGGTAGGAAGTGTAGGCACTGGCAAGGGCATTACCCACGTTGGCTGCCCTATGGAGTAGCCACCACATGGGCAAGGTGGTTGAGACCAGGGATGAATCTTCTTTCAGGATGATTTCTGATGTTATAAGGTGTCTGTGTGACAAACTGTCTAAAATAATACTGGTGCCCCAAGGCCAAATGTAAAATGGCCCTTTTCTAAGACACTTTCTCCAACTTCCACCTCCCTCCTCATTCAAATAGCTCTCGCCTCTGTCAGTGTGGTGTGGGTGGGAGGTTTTGTGTATGCCTGTCCTTGATCCTGGTGTCAGCTTCTGGCTATGCATGTGCATATGCACTCATGTCCACAGGGGCCTGGTCTTGGGGTCTGCCTCCACCATGGAAAGCTCACAGTGATGTCAGCCTAGAGCCATGTCCTGTAGGCCTCAATGCTGGGACAGGAACAGATGTGCTTCACCGCCACTTCTCTAACCTTGGCAGGTCAGATCTCACCCAATTATTATCCCTCTTCAACAGTCTAACTGAATTCACTTGTATACCTAGACCTGTCTCCAGGGTGAAGAGAAAAGAAAGGGGGGGCCATGCTTCCAATTAAAGCCTTCATTCCCTCCACCCCCACCCTTTCCACCATCTGAGATCTACTGCTGCTCTTGGGAGGCTGTGAGTTATACACACCAAGCCCCTTGGTACCTGTCTTCAAGGGGACCCTGGCCCCAAAGCTGGAAGGGACAGGAGAATATCGAAGAAGGATAAGAGACCAAGTTGAAAGAGATTTGCATTTATCACCCTCATAGCCCAGCCCCAACACTCAAAAAAGGAACCTGGACTCTACCTCAGGCCAGATTCATTGGCCTGGAGGGCACAGGAGCCCCATGGTAGCCATGCCCCTGGAGATAAGCCTCCTTTTTTGCAAAGGAAATAAACTGTGCACCTGGAGTTGTCCAAAGGGAGCCATGAGGGCAGTGCTGAACCTGGTGCTATCATTGCCCTCTACTTCAGCAGGCTCTAGGAATCTGCTTCTGGGGCTTAGCTACTGGGCTTGGTAATTCATGCCTCAGGCAACCCTGAGGAAGCCTTTGCCCCTTGGTGGCCTAGTAATAAAAGGTCTCCTGAGAACTCTACTGCATCTTTACGCAAGTCTGAGCTAGGGGAAGCCCAAGTGAAACAGAAGCCAAAGGGCCCCACATCAGGTCTTCCTGCACTAGGGTCAGCCTGCTTCAAGTTCTGCCTTTCATAAAAGCCATAAACAGGAGCTCCCTGCTGCCCTGGTCCCTGCAATATGGGGCTCTTAAGCTTGCAGTAAATCTAGGGAGACCAGGAGGGGCCTAGAAGGCCTCCTGCTGACTCCTGACTGTAGGCAACACCTCCCGATTTAGTGGCAGCTGTGAATACCAGCCTTCAGGCACCCTTCTTCCCTTCCTTCCCCTGTTCTCTTTTCTCAGGATTAGGAATAGGTTTCCTATTGCAATGGACATGCCCAGGCTCAAACCCTGTCTAGCTCACAGCTGAGGCCTCAGTCATAAGGCCAGGGAGATGGTGACCTCCTCCCAGTGTATGTGGTATCAAGAGACAGAGTCAAGCTTATAGCCCAACTGTCCAACTGCTTTTTACAAGACTCAACAGGGCATTTCCCTGCCTGGGCAACAGCTGAGCCTTCATCAACAGTTCTTGGGGCTGATTTTCCACCTATGTTAGGAGTATGGAGGAGCCCCCACCAGGGATGACTTTCCACCTGTTAGGAATATGGAGGTGCCCCCACCCATCTTAAGGGAAAGCATGCAGGTCACTACTGCCTCCAGAATGCTCAGCCCACAAGAACTAGGCAGAGCCAGGGAATGAATTGTCACTGCCCTTAGAACCTGTGGTTCCAATCTTTGAACCCACTGGAGGCCCTGCTTTCCTTTGGTAGGAGGAGGGGATGAGCAGAGGATGATACTTGGAGTAAAAGGTTGCTATGGTGATGGAAGTTTTAAAACAAGGAGAGGAGGAGGGGAAAGATACCAGTGAGGGTCCCTCTTCCCAAACTCATTCTGGCCTGTCTCCTTCCCCATGGGTTCTGTAACCCTGGTCTACATGAAGAGAGGGGAGGTGGGGGAATGGAGAGCCTTAAATAAAAAAAGGGGCAGAGACATGGGAGAGACAAAGGTGGAATCTGTGATGGAAGAGGAACAAGGAGGCAACAGAGAAGAAGGGAAACAGACACAAAAGAGAAGGCAGAGGATTCTGAAGAGGATTCAGGATGCCCAGCAGAGAGGCCTAAGATTTCCATGGCCAAGTGCTCTCAGACCCTGGGTCAGGTCAAGAGCTACCTTTGGTGCCTGGACTTTCAAGACTGAACTCTTCTGTATTCCCTAGACACACTGAACTTGGTGTGGGAGGCACAGCAAAAAGAGGTCAGCTTCTTGGAGCCTCTTGGTAGGGAAAAGGCCAGCTGTTGCAGTCCCCAGTAGGATAGTTCCCCTGCCTCCCTGTCATCATGGCAGGCCTGGCAGCTTAGGCAAGGGAGGTCTAAAAGTTGTAGGTAAAAGCATAGGATGCCAATGGAGCTCAGAAATCTGGCTGCTCCCTTTATAATCCTTTCAGCTGACCTAGCTTTACCCAGGGTCCCCAGCAACCTCCACCCCAATCAGCTGAACTCTCCAAGTCTTGGGTCCCGAGGGTCTCTCTTGCAGTTCGGCTTCATCCAGTCACCAATCTCGAGCAGATCTTCTCAGGAGGGCCAAAAACAGCAGCATAAGCAAGCCAGAAACGAAATAACAAATGCACACCTATCCTCCCCATGCTTCAGTTTCCCTGAATAGTGATCACAGATTCTGTGGCCCTCTCTCAAGGCAGAGGACTGCCACCTGCCTGTGAGCTGGTGGCCCCAGGACATGGGGCTAGAGAGAAAGACCTCCAGCAGATTTATGTAAAGCTAAGGTAAGGCACCTGGGGGTCCAGACCAAATAATGAAAAGGAGACCTTTGTCCCATCCTGACTCTGAATGGAGTGGAGGTACTCATTTCCAAGTTGAGGAAACTGGGGCCTAGTAGTCACTGAATGTGGCAGGAACCAACTCTGAGGGGGAGGGGAAGAGAGCCCCAGGTCTGCAAAAGTGGTCCTGAATGGCCCAAAGCCTGGTGTGTGTGTGTGTGTGCGCGCGCGCGCGCCGCGCGCGCGTGCTAGTGTAGAAGCTTTGGGTGAGGAAGAAAGGACCCTATTCTCTAGGAAGGAACCTACTAGAGCAGGATGGGGGTGGGGGAGAGCATTCTGCAACCTTATGGGGGGTTGGGACTCAAGAGCTCAGGGTCTCTGCTAGGCAATACAAGCTGGAAAAGGCAAAAGCTAATGCTGTAATTGTCACCCTTACTCCAGCCAGGGTCTCTGCTCTTCACCACAGTACCACCCTGACCCCCTTCCCTAGAGCTGCTGGCTCGCCCCCGCTGGCACAGCAACACACATGCGGGAGGCACACGTGTGAGCACCAAGTCCCGCACCTCCTAGCAGGAACATGTGCGCCCCGCACCCGCACCGCGCACGTGGATCCATGCACTGGCCCCCCAGATGGCCCTCACCATAAGGGTAGGAACCCTGAACTTGGGTAGGGGGCTGCAGGTCCACTCGGGTTTAGAACCTTCTCCCCACCCCAACCTTGCAGGAACCCCGCCCAGCCCCCTCCGGATTGTCGCCCATAAAGAACTCTCCGTTGTCATGGAAATTAGTGACTGCTAAACCGGAGGGAGGGGGGCCCCCCCGGGAGCAGTTGGGAGGGGCGGGAGGCGGCTCTGGGAGAGAGGATGGACGGCTCAGCCCTTGGACCTTATCCTCACCGGGGCACTACGAATATTCGAGGGTTCATATTTTTACAATTCGGAGCTGCAGAGGCTTCTTCCCCTGGGGATCCCCCCCGCCAGCCGTCCGAGGTAATGGGGAACTTTAGCCCAACCCCGCATGCCAACCCCCAATACCATCTGCAGAGCCAGCGCGCTGTGCGCCTGCTGGGACCCCCCCCCCGCCCCGAGCCCTCGCAGCGCTCCCGCGCATCCTGTGCCCGGGAACCTCTAACCAGAGAAACAATCCCCAAAGGCCCCCCCAACAAGCATCCAGGAGGCGCCCTCCCTGAGCCCAGCTCGCTCAGCCCGGCACCTGCAACGCTGGTCTGTCACAGGGAGGAAGCGGTCGTGGGCTCAGGCGGGGCGCTGAGGGCTCCGGGGGCGGCGGACAGAATCTGGTCCGGGCACGCGGGGCAGACGCGGCGCCAGCTGCAGCCGCTTCGGCTTGAGAACCTCCAGCATCGCCAGCCGCTCTCCTGCAGCGGATTCGCACCCTGGGCCGGGGGCGGGCTGGGGGCGGGGCCTCCAGCCGGGCCCGCCCCCACCTCGGCTGAGCCGGAGACTGGAATCCCGCTTGAGGGAGGATGCATATAGATGGGCAGGGAAGCTGGTGAGCACTAGCTAGACTCTCAAGACCCCCTTAGGCCCTCAGACTCTAAACCCAGCAACAGGAGATGGAGGGGCCTTTCCAAAGCCCAAAGTAGGGAGTAAGGAGTGTGGAATTGGGGAAAAACCTGAGTCCTAGAGCTGCACGGGAGTCTCCTGACTGGAAGTAATCTGGATCCTCCAAACTTGCCAATTCTGATCCAAAGGGCTGGACCTACTTAGAACCACCACATGGGCAGTCCCTAGGGCATCCCTTAGCTAGGAATAGTAAATGCACTGGGGTGTGTATGCAAGTTGTGGTCAGTTTGGAAGTGAACAGATACCGAGGTGAGGGCCTCAGACCACCTTAAGATGAACTCCTGCAAGGCCAAAGTCTTTCTCAACTGCAAGTCTCAGCCAGGTAGCTGGTTCAGTCTTCCCCCCTCTGTATAGCTTTGAATTTCCCAAACTATAAAAGTCGTCTGTGATGTAGCGTGGGCTCTGCATTCTTTCCAATAATCCTCAAACATAAGCAGTATGACCCAGGTGACCTGGGCTAGGATATGGAGTCAAACAGAACTGAAGAATCTCAAAACTGCTAGGAAGGAGCTTTAAATGAATTCCCTGTCCTTTGTCAGGAAGGCACATGGACCCATTACCCATCCCATTACCCATCCCTCCAGCCCTTGAGGACCATCCTGAGGCCATATTTAGGCTTTTCATTACCTGAAGCTGAGCTCCATCTCATTCCACCTCTTATAGTGAGCCCTCTCTCCCTCCATGGGGGATGGGGTCCCATGTTGTGTGAGGCCCTCTGCATCACCACCCATAGGTGATGAAAGGATTGACGAGATGAAGAAATTGGGGTTGGAGCTGGAAGATTGCCTGAGAAATGATTGCCTCAAACAAAGCTCCTGGATAACTTCCTCCAGAGAGGCTTTTAAGCCCTTCACATCTTTCCCTTTGGTCATTTTCACTAAGTCAGGCTGACATCACATCTGGGCTCCCTGGTTCTAGAGGGTCTTGTCATGACACCTACCCCAACACCAGGAGCACCTCTAACCTTTTGAAAGCTGGGCAGAGCCTGTTTCTCATATCACAATGTTCAACTAATGTCTGCAGAATGAACAAAAGGTCTGGCACTCAATTCTTTCTGCCCACTGTCCTTCTAACAATGAGTTTAGTTTATGGTGTAGCCAAACCATGGCTTGCTGAACCCACCTATGTCATACACATTTTCTGCCTTTCTTACAGGTCATAAGCTTTCCAAACATGGGGGCGGGTGGTATAAGAAGCTAGATTGGGGCTTTAGAGGCAGGGGAAGGGGCGGTTCCCTACAGCTTTGCCTGCTGCTGGCAGTACTCCACCTCTTCTTGGTCCTGTGCACATTCTGTGTGCATGTGGGTGACAGCACGTGGCAGGGTATATGTGCACACGTGAATGTGTGTGCTCTTTTATACCAAGAGAGATGGAAACAGCAGGGTGTATGCAGTGGCGCCCAGGGGCACATGTGTCTGTGCTCGGTGTGCACTCAGGTATGCTTGCTGGTACATGTTCATGAATGCAGCAATTAGTCCCTAAAGCTGTGATTTCCCTTCCTATGTAACATAAAAGGCTTGGGATGGTGGAGGCTGAATCAAGCTGTGAGAGCAGGACAGGGGAAGGGACACAGAAGTAAACAGTGAGGGTCTGTTATAACTTTACATTATTGACTGTTTCAACTCTGGAACAGTCCCTTGCTTTCAGGTAGGTGTAAGGATAAACAAGTCAGTCATTTGTGGAGGGCAACCTGAAGGCACAGCTTGTTCCTCTGCTTCCCAGAGAGACACAGGCAGGATAGGACCAGCTTCATTGTTTTGGCTACAGACCTCTGGGCAAAGAGTAGTAAGACCAACCAAGGGCAGGGGGGATAGCTCATTCAGTAAAGTGTGTTCGATTGGCAGAATCCATGTTGGGAAAAAAAAAAGTCATATAGTATGGTGACACTCACTTGTAATCCCAGCACTAGGGAGGCAGAGACAGGGATCCCTGGGGTTTGTTGGCCAGCTATCCTAGCCTAATAAGTGAGTTCCCAGGCCAGGGAGAGGCCCTTTCTCAAAAACACAAACAAACAAACAAACAAACAAAAAACAAAGTGGATGATGCCTGAGGAACAAATGACACTTGAGGTTGAATTCTGGCTTCCATGCGCATGCAAAAGAAGATCAGCTAAATGCCATCATTCTCAGCAATTAAAGGCCATACATTGGGTCAACCCCAAACCTTGGTCTTATCTTTCCTATTTAGAGACAGACAGGGTCAAGAAACATGGCTTCTAGCTACCCACTTGCCACAGAGATGACAAATAGGTATAGTGCAGAATTTAATACAAGAGCAGTGGCAGCTGGTAATAGTGTTGCCCAGTGCCCCCTCTATGAGAGCCCTTCTGAGGATTATACTCCTGCAAGAGCTACCCAGGTTGGGAAGACTAGGAAGGAAAAGGCAGCCCAGAGTTTATAGTTCTGACTCACACCAAAACTAGAAAGAGTGCCAGGATAAAAGGCAGGATAAGATGTGAACGTCAACATCCACAGAACCTATAGAGCAGGGTGGAGCCACATCCCCCAGCTCCAGTTGTGTTACTCATCTAGGATCCAGGACTTAACTGTCCTCTCCACTCTCTATTTTGGGTACCAAAGGCAGTACTCCCCATGCCCACTTCTTTGGCTGGCCAACAGAAGCCCCTGCTAACCCAGCTAGAGCGTCCTCCAAGTTTTGGAATCTAAGAGGTACTTGTGTTAATTACTAGGTGCCTACCCAAAGAAGCATAGACTCTAACAGGGACCCTCCCTTGGGATCAATTTCCCATACTTGAAACCATCTTTGGAACTGCTCATCCACTGTCCGTGTTTCTGGCCTCAGCCCTGCAGAAGAATGCCCAAGATGGAAGACAGAAATTGGTCCTTCCTTCTGGAGCTAGGGGAAGGGGCTGCCCCCCACCCCCACCTCATGACTCACTCTAGGCTGTGTGGGTTATTACATTATGTTTGAAATCACCATGGCAACTAGCTGGCAATCAAGGGTAATTGCACTTGTTGTCAGGGCAACAGGGCAAAAACCCACAGCAGCCATTTTCTGTGGTTGCCCTTGGGGTGCAGTAAAGGTCAAGCCAGACTAGAGTCAATGTCAGCTAAGGGGCTTTGGTGCTGTCCAGAAAGGGCAGGTTGCTAAGGCCCATGGACTTTCTAAGTATTGAAGTCCAGTGTGCCTTGGAAGAAACCAAGGTCCCCTTCACTGACCTCATGTTTGGAGTCTTGCCTTCCCACACCACCCTCTGCCTAAAACATGCAACAGTGTTTAAAGCATGCAGAACCATAACTTTATGTGCTCACAGCTGGTACTTGTAGATAGCCCGTGGGCCCTCCTCCTCATATTCATGGCGGCTAAGCCACAGGCTCTGGAAGGAGTCTCGGCATACCATGATGGAACCCCCAAGCCAAGCAGCAACTGCACGGTGAGGAGAACCCAGCACAGTGGCACCAGGGCCCAGCTCCTGTCTCAAGCGCTCAGGGAAACCACTCACCAGGGTGCTACCACCTTCCAGCACCACATTGGCCAGCAGCTGCTCCTGCTGTTTTGCCTCCAGCCGGCTGATACTTAGCAGGGCAAGCTGTGAGAGGCCTGGCTGGTTGAGACCTAGCAGACTAGGTTTGAAGAGAGCCTCAGGGCAGCAGAAGCGCTCAGAGCCCAGTGTGATAACCTGCTTATCAGGGAGCATAAAGTCCACTTGGGTTTGGGACTGGTTGCGGGTCATCTCAGCTGCTATGTCCATAGCCATATAACAGCAGGCCTCTTTAATCTGTCTGACAAGCCCTGCTTTCGGTGGTGAGTGGCCACCTGTCTGAAGGAGCTGAGTCAGGTATTCAGTGAGATCAGCACCTGCCACATCCAGCCGGTAGGTATCAAGTGGGGCCAGGTCCCCAGTAAGGATGGGCGCCACATAGGAGGTTCCATAGCCACTTCCCACCACCAACCCAGTGGTACGTCCGTAAGCATAGAGTGTCAGCAGAGCCTGATGTACTGTCTGCATGGCTGGCACATGGAAACGCTCAAAGAGTATTTCGGCTACCTTTTCTCGGTTAGTACATGGTGAAATGGGGGAGTCAGCCACAAGCACAGCTATCTCCTCAGGCTGCACCCTCAGCTTGCAATAGAATAGGTGCTGCCACAGCACCTCTAGAGCATCCCAGTCAGAAACCACACCTCGGTTCAGTACAGAGTAAGAGCCCTCTCGGTGTTCCGGTACCACGTACTGGGACTGGCCCTGGGCTGGGTGCTGCAGCATCTGAACTTGAGAGGGTACCACACTGAGGACATGGTCCTCTCCAGCCAGTCCACATTTGGTAAATCCTGTGCCCGTATCAATCACTATGGCAGACATGCTCTGGTAGGTACCTGATGAGTGGTGGCAGAGCACTGGTGACTGTGCTGGTAAAGCATCCATGGTAGATACCAGCTCATAGCAATTCCCACGGAGAAGACCCAGGTGTGCAACCACTGATGAGCATGTTATGTCCTCAGCTGTCAACTTGAACTGATGCCCACTCTGGGGCTCAGTGCCCACCATGGATATAGGCAAGTTGTTATAACCAGTAAATGTGATCAAAGAAAGTTGCTGCTGGTGTACTCTGTTGCCAGGTTGCCAAGATGGGAGCCGATGCGTGCTGGATCTTTGAGCACTACTAAGGCCAACCTTGTCTCTATTTACATAAATACAGGCCTCCTCAGGGGCCAGGGGCACTCTAAGTATTCCCACATGGGTAGGATTGCCCAAGGGCTCACTCTTCTGGGTGGAGGCCTGGAAAGACTCTCTAGAGGTGAGGGTGGGCTCTTTGGTGATAGGCGGCTTCATGGTGAGGGATACCTGCCTGGAAAGGGGAGTCTGTACATTGAGAGGAGATGGATTAGTAAGAGGGAACTGTTTAGAAGGTAGTTGACCAGATAGGGGGCTCTGCTCAGCTATAGGTAACTGTCTAGCAAGGAGGTTCTGTCCATTGAGGAAGGTCTGACTAGTGAGGAAGATTTGTCCTGTATCTTCAGTCTGAGGGTTATTAGGCTGAGCACTAATGATCTCTTTCTGATTATGTCTGTTTTCTTCTTCCTGGAGAAGAGATCTGGGCTTTACCTGGTTATTGGATGTTGAAGCAGGATCTGACTTCATCCACTGCAGTTTCTTAAGCTGGTCTGTGGAAGTGTCTGATGTTCTGGAGGACTCTAGCATCCAAATGGTGTGGCCAAGGTCATTCTTTTCAGCATCAGGTTTGGACCAACTGGGATTAGGAACCTGGGTCAATATCTTTTCACCAAATTGGATGGATGTCCCCGGTGCAGGAGACCTACCAAGCATCCCAACCCTGATAGGCATCTCGGTACCAGGGAAGTTCTGTGACTCTAGATTGTGTCTGGCCTCCTTGGAAACCAGGGCTACCTCTCTGTAGCTGCCAGATGAGAGGCTGGAGGGCACAGGGCTGGACATCACAGCCATAGTAGACCACATGCTGGGGTGATCACTGCTAGGAGAGAAGATTGGTCTGGGTAATGACCAAGCAGACAGCATATTCTCAGAGACATGGGTGGCTGGATGGCTGGGCATTAGGCCCATAAGTACTGCCCGTGAACCCATAGGATCATGGCACAGGAGCCCCATCCTGGTGTTGCCTGTGGCCATATCAAATACCAGTACATGATCTTCCACAGCATCCTGGAACTGGCAGGTTGGGACACTGAAAGTGGGGATCTGCATGGCTTCTATGGGAGTGTGGGATAGGGACTGCTTGTTGTAGGTTATTTGACTGGCAGACAGTGGCACATTAGAACAGTTGTAGGAATTGAGGGACTGCTTGTCTGGCAGAGAGCTGCAGATCTTCTGGTTTCTTTGCTGTATCTTGAGGGGAGCTGGAGACTCTAGACTTGGTGTTGGGATATCTGATCTGGCAATATGGACCAGAAGAGTCTTTGTGGGGCTTTCAGATTGCTTGGGTGGTACCTGTCTTTTGGCAACCTCGTGTTCCTGGGTGTGGGCTGGAAACTCTTCTGGAGTAGCTGATGGAGTAGGAGGCTCCTTCTTAACAGAAAAATCTACTTTGTCCTTTTTAGAAGACTGTAAAAGAGTGGACAGTTGGTTGACACCACTTTTGAAGGGAAGATCTTGAGATAGGCCTTTGGTGGTTGCAGTGGTGGTATAAGCCACCTGATCAGGACTACAGGCACAAAGTTTAACTGCAGCAGGTGTTGGGGTTGCCCTGAGAGCTGGAGTAGATGCCTGAACTGGGGTTGAAAGAGGCAATGTCAGTGAAGAAACTTTAGTTAGGCCAGGAGCCTGACTCAGACCAGGATACTTGCCCTGCTCCTGATCTTGGACTGGAGTCTGAGCCAAGGCCAGAAGAGGATCTTGACCTTCAACTGCACCACTCTCTTCTGAGAAGAAGTAGGGTAGCCACCGACTCTTCCTGGGGCCCATAGGGGCCATCTGGTTAATGTTACAGGTACCTTTGCCCCAGCCTACAAGGACTTTAGCTGGAGCCTTGCTTTCCCTCCCAATCTGTAACTGAAGCTGAGAGAGGCCTAGTCCATACTGGGCTTTGTCATTGGTGCTGTCATTGTGCACAAACGCTGGTAGAGTCTGAGTCCCAACATCTGTGAGGTGACGCTGCTGGGTTCCCACAATGGGGCTGGGAAATGGGCTAGAAGAAGAGAGTCTTGGGGTATCTTGGGAAGCCTGGGAATAGTTACACTTGTTGCTGGCCTGAGCAGGATCCTGGAGTAGTTGGTGAATGGGCTTAGGAGTGGAGGCCTGGGAGGTTGGGCCACAGGCCACATCTGTGATGGCTCCGGTAGACAATGACAACCCCTTCTTCAAGTATAGGGATCTTGAGTTCATCCATGGTCCCTGGGATCCTCTGAGGCCACCACTCAGCTGCTGACTGCTGGGCAAGGGGTGGCCCTGGGAGCCTGATGGATCAGGGCCCCCCACCTTCTTGGCAGCTTCCATAGTCCTGCTCCATGCCCTAGGTGCCCTGCCCCCACTTCATTGCCATGGTGACCTCACACAATCACTGACTCCAGTGACCTGGAGAGTGACAAAGTATGGGAGAACAAGGGCCCCACCCCCTGAAGAAGGGGAGGGCTTCCCTGGGGACTTTAAGAGACAGAGAAACCTAGAGATCCCAGTGAAGTTAGACAGCTATAGGTCAACCTTGTCTCCCCTTGCCAACTAGTTGACCCCTCTACCCAGGCCAGCCCCAGAGTGAAAGCAGTGTCCCAGAGAAAGGTGAAAGTAAGGTCAAGGGAGAAGGGTAAGAAGGGGAGACTGAGGAATCCCCTGGCACTAGGCCCTTTGCAGGAGCAAAGTCTTTTTACTACTTAGTTCTGGGAGACAAGAAGAGGGTGAGGGGCCCAGACTCAAGCCCAAGCTCCCCTCCCCTGTGTTCTCTGCTTCCGCTCCTGCTCCAGGGACAGCAGCTCCTTGGCAGTCTCTGCTGCTCCAGATGGTTTTCCTCTGCTTGTGCCTCATAGAGCCCCCTCCCCAGAGCCACATGTCCCTGAAGCCCAGGACCAATATCTTGCAGGAGTGGATATGGGGGTGGTGGGGGTGGGGCCTCTGCTCAGAATCTTCAAGTCAGATTGTTCTAGCTCTTGTCACATTGTGTCAAAATGGGGGCATAGCACTGGGAACAGGGCTAGGCCACAGTGGCTACAGCATTAAGACAAGTGGCAATTACAAGATGGGGAGTGGTAAGGACACAGTAAGAACAGGACTGGCCTCACAGTGGGGACATTGCAGATTTGAAACTGAACACACAGTGGGCACAGAGTTGTATATACAGCAAGGACAAGATAGACAGAGGCCTGGACATGGGGTAAACATGTAAAAAATGTAAGCTTCCAGGTTTAGTGGTAGTTCCTCCTTTCTTGGATGCAGAAACAGAGGGGTAGGAAGGCATAGAATCTGCTTGGATGAGCCCCTCAGATCCAGGGCTGCCCGCAGGCTCAGTGCTGCTCTGCAACCAGAGAACAGGTCTAAGCCGTCACTCACTGGCACGGGTCTACTTCTGGAGGTAGTTCTGCCTGGGGCAATCAAACCCTCCTCCAGCCCTGAACTCTGGACCTCTTCCCTCTGTCTTCCGGGACTGCAGTCCATTCAGGCCTCAGTCTTTCTACCCAGGAAACAGGTTTGTGGGGAATGCAGCTATAGGCTTGTCTTCCAAAGCAATGTGTTTTCACAGAGGTTAAAAATAGTATTTACAGTTGGCCCTAGGGTGTGAGGCTGTGTGACCAGGGACCAAGGCTAGCACTGTGCTGCATCTGCACCTTTTTGATTGGCCACTGGGCAAAGCCTGACTCAGTCGACAGCTCAGATTCCTAGGAACCAAGCTGCTTATTGTGCTATGGTCCAAGGAAGGCGGCAGAACCCAAGGGTCTGCAGGCTCTCTCACACACACACTTACAGAACACTATTAACTTCATTAATCTGTGCTCCAAGCAAGCTAGCTATTTTTCTATGACAGATGCTGGTAGCAGCCTCTAGTACCTGCACGGTGTCAAAGCTGGGCTGTACCTGGAAGGGATAGGGAGGTGTGGGGAGATACTTGAGAGCCTCTCAATTGCTTGACCACTGAGCTCATCCTCTACCTCCTTCCAGAAGTGAGGCATAACCACCCTTTCTGGGACTGAGGTCTCTTGTGAGCAACTGGCCTAAGAAGACTCTAGGGGAAGGGAGAGAGCTGAAGGGTCTGACCCAAGAAGGAAAGCCCTTCCCGCCTTTGAAGCAAACATACTTTAAAGCAATAATGACAGTGACTGATACTGATCTGGTTTTTCCTGTGCCTGCACAGAATGGAGCACATAGGATGCAGCCTCATAGCAATTCAGTGAGCTAGGCACTATAGTACCTTTGTTACAGATAAAGAATTAAGATCCAGAAAGCAACTGTGTAGTAGAGTTATAGTTTAAAGCTAGATTTCCTGGCTCTGGACCCATACATACTGTAGGAACATGTGGTGCCATCTCTAGGTGCCATGACAAGGCCATGCAGTAATGAGCCCTGCTAGGAGGGAGCCAACAGACCTCCCTTTGGGGGTAGTGCACCCCAAGCTGTGTCTCCCATGGACCTGTGCCCCTCCTGGTAGCTTAGCAGATAGCTCAGGCCTGGGAAAGGGTATGTTCTGTTGGTAGCACTAAGCCAGTGCCCACCTAGGAACTTAATGGTGCTGAATATGGGCCAGCTGCACACTCTGTGTGTCCAGGCTGAGTACTCTATCATTAGAATTCTTCACTGGCTTCAAAGCTCATTCCTATCTCATCCAACTGAGGGGATTGGGTGGAGAGGCTTCCAGTTTAGGCCCCTTTTGCTCAGCTCCTGGGGATAGTGCCCCTGTGCCCTCCCCCCACTTGTTTTTAAATAGTTTTTCTCCAAGAAGAAGGGCATCCAATTCTATTTCTGATTCTGAGGCGGGCCAATGTGTTGCCATGGTAACCCAAAAGCCCCTCCCCCAGGCTAAGCCCATTCCCCAGGCTGAGGGCTGAGTTGGGGGCGGGGTAGCTAGGAGGAGCTGAGGAGCTCAGTTTGAGGGTGAGGCCACAGTGTATCTCCCCTGTGAGGGCAAATACCCAGCTTTGCCTTCCTCCTTAAATTTCACCTTACCCTCCAGCCTGGCACTATGGAGGACCCCAACTCTCGGGGAGAAGGTCCAGTTACTCTGGAAACCTTCTCTCCTATGAATGCTATCACCTAACAGGCCTTAAAGATGGTGGAGAAGTGGCAGAAAGAGCATCAAGGGGAGAGGGGAGGTTACACTCTACCAGAGCTCTATGGCCCACCAAGTCAGCCAGGCCTGCTTGTCTAACACAGACTCTATTTTGGGCTTCCTTATATTCTTAAGGAGGCAGCTAGCTCTGTTAAACCCCTGTTTCTGCACTCTTCCTGTCCACCTACCCTTAACTCTCTGTGCTCTGGACATCTCAAAAAACTTAGGATCAGAAATGGGCTTCATGGCCTCCCAGTGCAGCCATCTACTTAACAATGGATCAGAAAGTGAGGCTTATTTCCCTGGAAGTTCATTCTGGGGTTTATACAACATCACTTGTGTTCCTGTGGCTATAGATCAGTAGCACTCGATCTGTGGCAGAAGGACATTCCATCTAGGAAGAGTTCAGGCAAAAGCCAGTTTACGAAAAGACCCTAAAGTTTCTTGTGATCCACCCCTGTCTCAGTGTCGATGGAAAACTGAGGCCCCAAGGAGGAAGGGACAAATTCTTGGTCTCCTAATTCTGTAACCCCTCCTCGCTCCTCCCTAAGCCAAAGCAAAGGTCCCAAGTGTCCTAGACCATTTGCTATCCAGTTTCTCCTGTCCAGGGTACACCCATTCCACTGAGGCAAGACCATGTTGTGAAGGAGTTGGCATGTCCTGCTCCTTGTCCTGCCTGCACAACCCCAGAGGAAGAAGCCAGAGACAGTGAACCCCAACCCTCAGGGAACCTAGGGAGGGTGAGGAGAGAGATAATCCATTCCTAATCTGGAATGTGGAAGGCAGAAGCCACTAGTGCTGCAAGGATATGACTTCTGAGCTCTCAGGCACAGGAAAATTTAAATAACAGATGTTTAAACAACCTTCCCTGCAAGCCACTGGTGCAGTGACCCTTCTGCTGTGATGTGTTGTAGCTTAAAAATAGCCCACAATGAACTGCTCTGAGCCCCAATTGACTCAAGCTTACGTAACTGCGTGAAAGATAGCCAGCCGCACCAGCCCAGAGGGAGGGTGATAGCACAGCCACTCTAACTGCTGCCCACAGCTGGGTGCTCCTTGGCCCCACTGGGAGCAGCCCCCCATCCAGAAGCCAGCATAAGTTAGGGGTGAAGAAATGCTGCCAGAAGTGTACATGACTTCATGATTTAAGGTCAGAAACCTCCAAGCATGCTTGCAGAGGAGATGTAAGAAGAGGCCCTTCGCCAGGCATGGTAGCTCATGCCTTTAGTCCCTGCATTTGAGGCAGAGGCAGGCGGATCTCTGTGAGACTGAGGCCAGCCTGGTCTACATAGTGAGGGAGAGTCTGTCTCAAAAACACCAAAAACAAAATAAAAATGAAAATAAATAAAAAGAAGAGTCCTTCCTTCAAGGACCTTATGGGACCCAGACCCAATAGAATAGAAGTGGATTAAGAGCAAATGATTAGATAAGGAGACTGGAGCAGCCATTCATATTGGCAGGGTGACTGGAGCTACCCGAAGTATTCATTCCTCCCTTTGAGGAGGGGGCTTCTTAACTTGATAGGACAGGTCAACAAAACCTGTGTGGCAGATGCTATCACTACCATGGAGCCCAGGGGTGGAACCAACTCCTCTAGGGCCTCTAATTCTCCATGGTACAGGCTACAAAATCCCTTGGAAGAACTTGTAGCATGACAGAGGGAGTGATGGCTTCAAAGCTGATTGAATTCTGTGTGCTTCCCTGTTGAATCCCAGATCCTAAATGTTCAGTCCACAACTGGCTACAAGAGTATGCAGATGGCTAACCAACTGAAAAGCAGCAGAGAGGAGAGATGAGGGTACCCCTAGCAATGGGATACTGAACCCTACAAAGGAGTGACTTCCCTCAGTTCCTACCAACATAGCTCAAAATAGAAATTATCAGGGGCCAGGCCTCTGAGGCCCAATGGAGCAACGGTAAGACAAAGCATAATGGGAGCCAGACCCATGGTTCTCCATGAAAGCAGGTCAGTCTACTCTGTGCATGCCCTCCAGGTGTGAGATGATAGTGATACCAATGGGCAGTCAGGTATCAGTCAGGCTGTGAGTCATCAGCTGCTTCCTCAGCCCCAGCTCCCATCATGGCCTCCCCTAGTCTCTATTGGTATTTGCTTGCCCCCAGACCCACTGGTTTGTCCTATAAGAAGACAAGGCAGGGGATGGTATTTGTTTGTTTATGATAGGGTCTCAAGTAAGTCTAAGCTGGCCTTGGGCTTATTATATAGCTAAGACTGCCTTTGAACTTCTGGTCCTCTTGCCTCCCTTCTCAAGTGCTAGGATTGTAGATGTGCACCATCATGCTGGACTTGGTGGGAAGGCTGGATTCCCGGAGAGTCCTAGAAAACAGTTCTTATCCTATCATATTCTGGACACAGGCCTATGCCTAGCAGGGCCATTAGCAAACTCTGCTGTGCACTGGTCACTCACCATACCTGAGCAATCACTCAGTTCCCTCCACACACATACCAGGAAGAGAGGCAGTCCAACCTCCTACAGCCTTTGAGGACACTCAGAAACCCCCAAGTCTTCTGACTCCATCTGGGAACCAAGAACTGACCTTACCTACCCATCCTCCCTAGTAGCTCAGTCATCAACTTGAAATCCTAAAATAATTAGGATCCAAATTAATAAAATCAGAGATTAAAAGGGAACTATTACAACAACTACTGAGTAAATTCAGAAAATCATAAGGTCATAATTTTAAAATTCTATTAAACTGGAAAACTTAAAAGAAATAGATAAGGGGCTGGAGAGATGGCTCAGCAGTTAAGAGCACTGACTGCTCTTGCAGAGGACCCGGGTTCAATTCCCAGCCCCCACATGGTGGCTATGAACCGTCTTTAACTCTAGTTCCAGGGGAATCCGAAGCCCTCTTCTGACTTCCACAGCATTGCATGACATGGGTGCACTCACATACATGCAGGCAATACACTCATACACATAAAATAAAAATAAATTATTTTAAAAAATTTAAAAAAAGAAATAGATGAATTTCTAGACTATACAGCCTACCAAAGTTAAAGTATCGGTCTTGATACTCTAAATGAACTTGGAACTATTAGATGACTGAAAATGGAACTCACAGCTTGGGGGCTGTAGAAGGGGGCACACAATCTAGGACTCTAAGCACTTGTTAAATTGGAGTCCCTCTCTGGAGAATTCTGGCCCTGGAGGCCCTTGGCCCAGAAAGCCCATGTTAGCAGCGTAACTGCTCAAAGGATTATTTCACTCTTTGAAGAGGGGGCTCTCTGGCTTAGAGGAGGATATATCAGCAGGACTGATGCTTGACTGAAGCTGTCATTCAGTGACAGTCAGACTCATTTAACTATATAGGAAACCTGATGCCCTTTAGCTCTCCCTCTCACTTGCCCTTCTCTGGGACCCCTTTCCATGCTACTGTTCCCCTTCTGTCCAGATACTCTTTATTCTGGGCCTCTCTCATGAAGAGATTAGCCAGTGGGGAAGAATCCAGAATTCTTATCACCCCCTACTCAGAGCTTAGAACTCTGAGTGGCCCATTTTGGATAGGGTTAAGAGATAAAGGATGGTGCCTGGAGAGATGGCTCAGTGGCTAAGAGCACTGAGAGTCTAGGTTCAGTTCCCAGCACCCACATGGCAGCTAACAACTGTCCTTAACTCCAATTCCAGGGGATCTAATGCCCTCTTCTGACCTCCACAGGCATTGTACAACACAGGTGCACTTACATACATGCAGGGAATACACTCTTACACAAAAAAATAAAAGTAACAAATGTCTTTTTAAAAAAGAGATAAAGGACTACAAATTGGGAGGATGCAAACTCCTTCTCAACTGGTACAGGGGCCACAGCTATGGGTGTGCCCTGGAAACTTGATTATCTTTCTACCAGGCTCAGGGGTAAAACCGCTGTCCTGTCTTCCTCCACATATAACCAAAGGGTCAGTGTCCAGGTTTTCAGGGCCACAACCTCCTACAAGGTCCAGAGTTGAAGAGATAGGCAAGTAGTCTGTTTTTACCTGCATTTGACTCACACACTCCTCTTTATACCTCTGTTCCCCAGCAGAAGAGTCTCCTTTACATTTTTACCATCTGCCCTTGGGGCTTTTTGGGTCCCTATCATCAAACCTCTTTCCAGCTCAAGGTGCCAGGGTTCCACGGAAACCCCATTCTGCTTTATCAAGGAGCTCTTGCTCCAAATCCAGGGTTCCACTGTAACAGAGCACAGATCTAGATGCTCACAGAGAGGGGCGCCTACCCTTCTTAGGTGACCTGGGAGTCTCCCAACTGAGGGAATGGAGGAAGCCATGGGAGTCCTATGCAAGGGAGAGTTAACACTGTGATCTATATCCTGGGCCTAGGCACCCCGGCACTCCAGCTCTCAGTACCAACAGGGCTCAGCTATCAAGCGCATAGGAGAGAATTGGGAGGAGGGATGAACATCTCCTTCTCCAGAGAAACATGCCCCTCCAATAGCTATTGTGCTGTGTCCTTAACAGCATAAATAGCTTGGGTAGTTGGTGCTTCAAAGTTGGCTCTTTAAAAGTATAAAGTTGAGGCCTCACTGCTGGCTCCTCATGCTCAAGGTTATAAGTGCATTGCTGGTAGGCTTGGGAGTCAGGCAGGCAGATCTGCAAATCCTGATGTGTGTGTGTGTGTGTGTGTGTGTGTGTGATCCATAGAAAGCCTAGGAGAAGTGCTAGGGTAGGTAGCTAACTTGAGCCATAGAAGAAACCACCTTGGCTGCTGCAAGCTGGGATATACAACCTGTCCCTTGAACCATTCAACAGTCCCCAATGCCTTATAATCTGATCTTGGTCTATTTACCCTTTCTATGCTCCAGAGTTTCTGGCTTGGTCCAGCCTTTTTCTAGCCACAGGCTTTGTTCATGCTGTTCACTCTGCCCAAATCTCTTAGCCCAATTTTGCTTCTAGTAGATTTTCTCCATCTGAAAGGGCTTTGGCAAAAAATGTCACCTCCTGGGAGCCTTCCCTTATTTCTTGAGTTATCTCTCTAAAGCAGTCTCTACTCCCTTAAAGCAGCCTCCTTTCTTTCATAGCATATACCACAGTCTGTGCTTGAATAGCATTTATTGTTTACACAGTGGTATCTCTATGATCGTTGTTGAATTATCTGTGTTCAGCAGACAGTGTGCAAAAAGGCACTCCATAAATACATGCTACAAAAGGATTGCTCTCACTGACTCACTCTGGAGAGATGGACCTAAATGTGCTGTATCTCTACCTCCAGTAACCTCAGAAGGTTAAAGGGCAGGGATGAGATGGAGATCTGATGCTCTCCAGCTGGCCGTAGACAAGCAGCAGCTTGGGATTAGCTCAAAGCCACTAAATAGGTCCAATTCTCATGGGCCTGCTTAGGGCTTAGGTCAGGTGGGCAGAGGTGGCTCTGAGAGAGGCCGGGGCCGTGATGTACTCCTGTGACAGACAGGTGAGGACTCTGGCTGTTCTGGAAACATGTTCACCTTATCCAAGGTGCTGGGGCCTAGGTTCACATATGCTGTGGACAGCTGAACATAGTGGTCCCCAAGCAGTAAGGCCACTACCTGTTCCAGTTCCATCACTAGTGCTCTGAAGGTGGGTCGTGCTGCTGGATCAACCTCCCAGCATCGCAGCATCACTTGGTACCTGTAAAATGAGGGGATGTCAGGCCTGATGTTTATCCCTACCCAGGGATTCTGGGATGTCCACCTACTGTTAAATCCCCATTGGATGAAACAAGATGACAGGACCTACTGTCCAATCAGGGCAGTGCCCAACACTGGCATTGTACAATTAGGAGCAGCTCTTCTCATCACTATGATGACTGGCAGAGGACCAGTTGTCTCAGTGGTTAAGAACTTTTGGTGACTGTGCCCTGGGGCCTTGACTGTGTGATTTTGAGCAAGTTCTTTAGTCTTTCTGTGCCTGAAGATCCTCCTCTGATCACACAGCAGTAGGGGCACAGGGTAAGAAGACAATGAAATCCTTAGCATAGGGCCCAGCTAACAAGCTAATATATCATCATACCTCTTCCAAGTAGGAAATAAAATGAGGATTAAAAGCCCTTCATGGAGAGCTGGGTGTAGTGGCATATACTTGTAATTCCAGCATGTGAGAGGCAGAGACAGAAGGATGAGGTCAAGGTCAGCTTCAGCTACATAAGGAGTTTGAGGCCAGCCTGGACTATATGGGACTGTTTCAAAAGTCAAATACAGGAGCTGGAGAGATGGCTCAGAGGTTAAGAGTATGGGTCCTCTTTTTTAATAAATTAATTATTTAAT